CGGTTCAAGAATGGCTTTCCACGGCTTGAGAAATAGACTTACGGCTTGAAAATTCATTATTTCGCGGCTCAAAAAATCCAGTCGCGGCTCACAGAGTAGATCTTTTCCTGACTTGTTCCAGACTAGCTTCGGGCAGCGACGGTGGTGATTTGTTGAAGGAAGGCATTAGTTCGATGCGCAAATGTATGACGTCACCATTTCAACCATCAACAAACGCACGGAACTAAAACAAAGCTTAATAAAAAGGAAAAACTAAAGAGGTGACGGAATTACCCACGATGACGGAATATACCGCGTTTACCCTATTCCTAAATCATAAAATTTCTATTAAATAGAGGATATTAATTAGGACTTAGGAGTATTAAGGAAAGTAGATTAGTAGAAAATACTAAAATAGCATGCCTGCAACCTGCCTCTGGGACTCTTGAGTCTCTGACTAAGTGCCTCATGATTCATGAACTAAAACTCAAGCCTACTTATCTTATCTAACTAAATTTTTGCTAGCCTAGTCAAATATTATTATTAGGATTAACCAATTGAGAAAGTCTCCTTCTAGTAGATACAGACTCAAACAGTTAACCACAAAATTACCAACCGAAGATGTTCCCTGTCCTGGTCCAAACACCGAAGAATGGGCCCTGTGGCTGTGGAAGTTAGTCGCAGAGAACTGAAGTAGCCTAGACGTTTAGTAGCGAAGTGACAACAAGTATGCACTGGACTGGATCTGTAGAGTGTAAACCAAGCCAAGCAACGACTGGCAGCTTACTGAGAACACAGAACAGTAGTGTGATCCGCAGTCAAACCGAAAATTATGGACGTTTTGTTCCGTTTTGTAGTATTATAGAACGCATGCAATTTGCAACACTTAGTAAGACTCGCTGACTCGGAAATAAAATTTAGAAGATAATGGGTATTTCATCGCAGAAATATCTAACAAATACATTCATATTCAGCTTCCATGCTAACTGAACGTTCATTAGGATTTATTATCTGTGGTCGGTCTAAAAAAATATTATTGTTTGGGGATGCATGACAGAAACTATTTACAATGCTCTACTGGCATTAATAGAAAAAGCATGCACAAGAAGCCATAAATTATTGTATACTGAAAGCACTGCAATAACTTGAACAATAGACGTGATTGTTGCGTCATTTGAAGTTACTTCCCGTAAGTTACGTTTACTCAAATTGTCTTCCATGATGATAGGTATCCGATGAAAGCAGCTGTTCGCCTGTCTGGACTTAACATCTCAGATTTTTGTATAATTTCCAGCTTCTGTTAGATACATATTGATCCAAAGCAAATTTGAGTCAGATCAGGCTATCCGACAGCCTGCTCATTCTTCTGGTCGGCGCGATTTATTGGTAGCAACTACAGCAATCCCTTGATTAACGCGGTTAATAAATCCCCGAGTTTTACCGTGTTAAGCAAAACCGCGCTAATCAAACTTAAGAATATATGGGAATAATAATAATGAATCCTCAAAAATATCAAAGGAAAGGAAAATTATGTAGTTCGATAAAAGTGAGCAGTAGATATGGCAGCGATCTTGACCAGTTGAAGGCTAACGAGTAACTAGCCCTTTACGCACTGAATTATGTTTCGAAAGTGAAAAAACAATCTGAATTACTTTTCAGATCACGCGCAGTCTTTGTGTTGTACTGGCAGTAGCGGCGCGCCTAGTCGATCGAACGTCGTTCGAACGAGTTCACAACATGTGACGCTACCGTCACACTCGCGGATAGACTCCAAACATGTAATTACTCTCGGTAGAAGCTTTTATTTTCTGTGTGACGAATTCGTCACACCAGGTTAAGCACTGCAATAACTTGAACAATAGACGTGATTGTTGTGTCATTTGAAGTTACTTCCCGTAAGTTACGTTTACTCAAATTGTCTTCCATGATGAAAGGTATCCGATGAAAGCGGTTGTTCGCCTGTCTGGACTTAACATATCAGATTTTTGTATAATTTCCTGCTTCGGTTAGATACATATTGATCCAAAGCAAATTTGAGTCAGATCAGGCTATCCGACAGCCTCCGCATTCTTCTGGTCGGCGCTAATCAAGGGATTGCTGTACACAGATTCGGTAGCGGACGAAGCCGTAATCGGTTTTTAATCAGATGTCAGGTAAGAGTACTATTTTAAGTTTTTAGTATACAGGGTCCGCCATATTTATGGCAACGCATGTTTTTTTTTTGTTATTTTTCAACAAAACAAACAGGTGCATTGTTTCTTTATTACAAGTGCTAGTAGCCAAGAATTACCTGAACAATTCTCAGACATATTTATTCAATATGAGTATATGACCACCCTTATTTTTCATGACGGCCTCCAATCTACGCTGAAAAGCTTCACAGGAGGCACGCAGCATTCCTTGATGGATCAAGTCCCATTCTCGTGTCAATTTAGACCTCAAACTATCCAAAGAATCATGAGGTGTTCTACAGACCATACTCTTTAAACTAGCCCACACAGAAACGTCGAGAGGATTCAAATCAGGGCTTCTTGAGGGCCATACTCCTGCTTCTGCAGCTGAGCGACGAGGGTTTCTCCTCAACTTCTCCCTCGTGTTTTTGACCAATTTTTTTGTTCGGACACTGCGTTTCCTTCCTTGACCAAGTCGATTGCATGTTTCACCAGTTTCCTTGAAATTTTTACCACCTTCCACACAGTTTCACGACGAAATTGGAGCTTTTCTGCAATGACTGAATTCCTCTCGCCCTTTTCATGAAGGTTACAATTGCATTTCTATCTACTGCCATAAGTAATAGTAAATTTAGACACCATTGACTTCGGCAATATAAAATAGATGAATTAAAAGATGATATTAAGCTTCATTATAAAAGCAAAGTCTCCTAGAAACAAATTTATTGTTATATAGCAAACATCCGTTGCCATATATATGGCGGACCCTGTAGTTTTGATAACCTAATTCTTTCAACACGCTCCACAGACACTCGTGTTCCTGCCACAAATAAAACGTCAGAGCTGTCAAGCACACGCGGTCCTGACGAGACTACTCATTTACTCACATATGGCCTCCATTGACCCGAGCACATAAGATAAGGCGTTTGAATTGCTTGGAGAACATAGCCCAACAAGCTATTACTTTGACAAGAAAAACAAGACATGAAATTTCTAGCCCTGACCTCGCCTAGCTCATGCCACCATTTAATACTACCTGCACCCATTTAACAGGCAGACAAGTCTTTCGTTCACTACAATGGCAAGTCACACCACACTACACCACACCTCACCACACCACACCACACCGCACCAAGCACCACAAGAACTCCCTGTAGTATTCGCACATCACACACAAAGAACATACCGAACGGAGTACCCCAGGCCCAAGGATCAGTCCTCTCGCCAACCCTTTCAACCTTTACATGCATGACATTCCTGCCCCACCAGACAACATTCACATTTTTATCTTACGCAGAAGACATCACAATTAGATCAACACACATCAATGTAAACACATGCACCACACCACAGTACAACCTTCCAACACACAACTATAGGGCGCAACTATATACTATACTAGTATATACTAGTTGTATATAGTGTATACTAGTACAACTATATACTATAGGGCGCAACAGACACAAAGTATCCCCCACTAAATCAACAAGCACACTACTAACAAGCCACACAAAGGAGCATCAGCACAGACCAACAGTCACTCTAAACAACACAATCATACCTCACACACAAATCCAAGATTCTAGGTGTCACTTACAACACTTCTATGTCTTTCGGGCCACACATACAGAACATCAAAACAAAATGCCCTATGCTAAACACACTCAGAGCCCTCACAGGAACAACATTCGAACAGAACAAAGAAACCCTCACACTATACGTACAAACAATACATACGCTCAGTGCTGCACTATGCAAGTCCAGCCTGGGCACCCATAATATCACCCACACTTCACAACCCCCTACAAACCATACAGAACACAGCACTCAGAATCGTGCTTGGAAGCACCCAAACCACACCATCCAGTCACGTCCACGCAGAAACCAAAGTCCACCCTCTGAATGAACACATGGACATGAAGATATGAGAGGCACCAAATTCCTTGCATCAGCACTTTACAACCCTCTCAGCCCCTGCCATCACTTTCAGCACTTACCCCCTATACCCAGACAAAGAGCCAACACTCCATACAACTATTATCTCAATAATTAATTCCATACCTCCTCCCACAGACCCAGCCAACTTCATTAAACATATACACACACACCTACCCGGAACGCTCTCAAATGAACTAATCAACAATACCATTGACGACACACCGTCGGACTTCTGCCATACAGAGCAGCAGTTGAGCCGTGCAGACAGGGTGCACCTAAGCAGACTTTGCTGAGGTCACCATCCATCACCACACTCTTACAAAAACCGCCTGGACAGCACTCACTCGGACCAGTGCCCCCAATGTCAGGAACTCCCCCACACCGTCAAGCCTCTGCTGCTTGATTGCCCGGAGCTGGCAGCACTAAGGCTCCGGGCAGACATAACATCCGTCGCACAGCTGTGGCCCGAGCCGGCTCGGGTTGCGGCTTTCCTGCGCAGCGCGGGCTTCTTGGCGTGACCGGGGCTCGGGGAACGTCAACAACAACAACCTGCACCTAGAATTCTCACATAGCATCAATCAACGATATATGTAAGCTACTTTACAACTGAATACATAACTATGCAACTCGAAGTGAACTAGCTCAGAATCTGTCATACAACTACTAATCGAAACAGCAACACTGATACACAACACAGAAAAAAAAACAATAGAAATATTACGGGTATAAATTTAAAAGTATATCGCGACAAGTACTCTGACCAACAAACTTGAATGGCATTTACCTGAAACTTGCGATACCATTTAACTAGCTATCACATTTCTTTTGAATGCTGACGACAGTCAACAATGTTTAAAGCAACTTACTTGTTAGTCACCAGGAAATTTATATAGTATAAATGAAATAATTCAAGAGGCTTTGGCAAAAAACCATTTAATACGATTTCGAATCACAATGACACAATTCAACAAATCAAGATGGAAGAGGAGAATCAGGATCTTCTAAAGCATCTTGCCATTCCAGTTCGTCGTCATCATCTTCAGCATCAGCAGCATCTTCATCATCTCCATCTAAAGGCTGCTGGGCGAGTCCAGGAGCTGAGAGGTCTTCCAGTTCATCGAGCATTTCTTGGACGGATATGGTCGGTGCCTCAGGATCAAGATCGTCATCATCGTCCACCACAGAGTCAGAAGGCATGCCCTCATCTTTGCGATAGACGTTGACGTTCTTCCGTAACACAGGATCCTCTTCCAAATCATCCAAGAAGTCAATGTAGTCTCTGCACGAAGTAAAACTTCGACATATACTTACAGAAATTGAGGATTTGTTGTCAGACACATGAGCAAGTAGTCCATCTAAAGAGCGCTAGAATAATACAAATTTCTAAAAAAAATTTCAAGCCAGCTTTAGCAGATGTTTGTTTAATTTTCATGCAAGAAAGCCTAAAGAAAGTGCATTGCCTTAGATCTCCTGAGATTAACGTTATGTTCTTGGCCAAGAAGTTCACTTGCAAAACGATAAGGTTGAATATGAAAAAATAGATTTTCAAGAAGCATGTAGTAGATAAAAATTGAAATTGAACTTTAGCCACGAAGCAGGGTAATTCTATAATTATTGTCGATTTGTTGAACTTAAAAAAAAATAGCTAGTGCTTTTGGTGAATTTTGGCTAAGTTCCAACACTTGCCTGTTGACACTGTTTTTGTCATCATTTTTGAGCGAGCGAAGCTTCCACTTGCGCCTCCTGTTCCTGAGAGCCTTGTTGCCGTAGTACTTCTTCACGAGAAGCACGTCAGGCATGTCGCGCTCATCAAGCTTGTCTACTTCATCATTGTTCACATTCAAGTTCTGGAAGTCGTATCTATAAAAAAACAATTGTTTGGCATCAGAAGAAGTAAGCACCTCCAACTTCAAGGTTTTTCATATGCCGGGAGGTCGTATCGTTGAAAAGGAAAATACAATACCTTGGCATCAAAAATAAGAAGAATCACAAACTTTATCGTCAAAATAGTTCTGGCAGGTCAGCAAGCCAGTGATAGTGGCGGAACTACCAGTGGCATTAGGGCCCGAAAAAACTGACCATCACCCCTCCCTTACCTGGTTGCCACTACCAGGATTGGCAATTACACACACAGGATGTAAGCACAATACTTGAGCTTAGTCAATATTTACTTGCACCACAAATAAAGCAAAACTTCATGAGCGCTCTTAACGTAAGCAAGATATTATTACAAGAAAACAAAGATTATTACCATAATTTTAAAGTTATGTTAAGCCTCACCCCATTACGATGTCTCCCTCGTGCAAGATGTTGCCGAGGTGGGTGGTGCAGAAGATCTGTTTTTGGGTTCCTATGTCGCTTTCACGCTGCACCCACACGTCAGCCACAGTATGCTGTTGACATGACATGGGTTAATTTAATTTAGAAATGTCAGATAAACAAGACTTTTTAATAAAAAGCCAAGAAAATTCGCCAAAGCTTGGCGTTTTTCATGGTGCGTCGATACCATTTTACTGCGTTTTCTTTGACTTCAAATTATTAGTAAATACGTAATTCAAGCAAACTAATGATACAAATAAATGGTTAGGCGCTAATGTGTAGGAAATTAAAATATTTTCAAAGTAAGATAGTCAAAATAAGAAAATAAGTCTGAAAGAAGTCACGACCTTGCATACTGTAGAGAGATACAACGAGGAAATTGTTTGACTTCACAAACCTTATGCGAAATGTGCCCTTGTCCAGCAAAATACTTGACATCTGCCTCTTCCAAGGACATCACAACGAATTTCGTGAGATGCTTACTGGTGATCATGTCGAAGAAAGGATTCTTGTAATATGCCAGGGCATTTACCTCAGCAGCTGTAACATATCAAAAGGTTTTAATTATGTACAGCGGAATGTATACAAGTGAATGCTGTCGTGACCAGCATAGAAAGGACATCAATACGAGGATGCAAGAGATAAATGGATAAGAATTCTAACCACTTAAATAAACTTACAGGTCAATTTTATTTGCGCCCACTATAGCTTAGAAAGCATTGAATCCACATCAGTTATCAAAATCAAATAAGATAGGGGCCAAATTTTGTCTTCAAAAAAAGCTCCCCAGCTGAACAAATAAAACTTACTTTGAGCTGATTTTGGGTCAATGAGTAAAATATGTTTAGTTACTCTCTGCACGATGCACACTCTGGACATGCCACCCAAGTTACGAGCCATGGTTTTGGAGAGGCAAACGGCACTGTCCTTGCACACGGGGGCGATCTCCACACTGTCATCACAGAAAATAATTAATTACTGCAACCTCAATCAGAAGAATATTTTGATTATTATTAGCACATAAATGATATGTACAAACCCAAATAATGAAATATGTGATCCATCAGTATCAGTAAGCACAAAAAAAAAGTAAATTTACAAGAACAACAAGTTAAACTAACCAGAAACTGAATTTATAGTTGTAAATATTTGATTTGATGTCATGAGAGATGAGTTTCTTTGATTGGTTGTGTTTGCAAACAACTGAAGATGAAATAAAGTTGACAACTTTCTTTGCATCTCTCTCCGAGTAGAAGAACATGTCCAGACCACCTGACACTTCTTTCAAGTCGGTTGCAAGCTTTGTCACAGAGCTTTTGAGCATCAGCTGCTCCAGGTAGTAGTAGGTGCGCTTGTGGTCCACTTTCTGCCGAATCTGAGGACTCAAAAGGTATGAGACAATTTATAAAATTCAATAAATGATTCCCGGTAAATATGAATGAAGTACCAAAATATATTCACTAGGAGACATCATAATGAATCTACAAATGAATGGTTGACATATGTTATTTTTCAAGTATTTCCTATGACTTAAAGACAAATCTAAGTAGCATTGTGAAATCAAATTCAAAACTCGTGATTTAAATTTTGATGAAAACATAGATGGTAGACTTTCAACTATTATGTAGTACTGTTTGCATCATTTGATATGCTAATTTAATATTTCAAAATTAGATGAACTCAAAACCAAGCGCACTGCCATTTGTAAGGAAAAAAAAACTAAAATGCATACCTGGACAGAAGCTTTCCAGAAGTCTTTGGCTTCTACCCTGTGGCAATCAGAGCAGAATTGGTTGGCAACCATGTAATCCACTTGGAAGGTTTGCTCCAAGCTAACTTCCTCATTCAAGGCTTTCTCCACTTTAACCTGGTAGACATGAGAGAGAATTTCATCACAAACTTCATGCTCACATTTCATGAGAACAAAAAATAGTAAATCTCAATCATACTTCCAGTTCAAGTGATACCTCCTATTTGTGCACCAACCAAAAAATATATTAGAAAGTACATCATTGTTATTGATTTCCGGTTGATAAAATTTGAGCTGCTGAGGCATAACTCATCTCCTTACCTCAAGCTTCAGGCGTCTTGAATGAGGTTCTGTGTATTCAAACCTGGCATTGACAAGACGGACTTTGTCAAGACCTCGCAGCCTCTTGAGACACAGAGACAGCAGCTCTTTTGATTCCAGCTCTGCTGCCACCTAAAAAATGGTTGTAACAAAGTTCTATTAATAGGAAAATAAACTCGAGTATAAATAAGACCATACTATGTATGCATTGGTCATTAACCAGAAACAAGATTCTTAGCAACACTTCAAGGAATTTTTTCCTCATTACATTCACTCAATGTTCCAGGACATACTAATGAAGCACATAACACTTACCCAAAGAGCAGGAGGCTCAAGATATCTTCCACAGCCTCGGCAGAAGTAGATGGTCACCTCCTTGGGGATTTCAGAGGCAATGTCATGTTCAAGTCTGAGACATGGGATACAGCGATATGAAGGGTTGGGCTGAATGTTGATGCCGCAGACACAGCATAGTATGGTAGTTCTGAAAAGACCAATGTAAGATTAGTGAAATAACCATTAATTAACATGACTTATTTTCAGTTTATTTATTAACTCGAAATGTTGCACATTTTACAAAAAATTGTTTGTGTTTATAGTTTTAGAAAATAGATGAAAGTAAAAAATTACAAAGACCTTAAGGTTCGAAGATTTTGTTTGGCCTAAAATTGTTAGTGCACATAATAATGTATTCAACAATTTTCAACAGAATTTTCATTCATTCTCACGAATAGTAATAAGGAGGGTTAAAGGGTTAAGTCTAAGTAGACATCAGCAGGGTTAAGTCTTAGTAGACAGAATTTCACAGAAAAGCTCTAGTTGCCGCTTGGAATGTAAATACCTATATTCCATGCCTTATGATGGATCCACAATAAGTAGTTTCTATCCAACTTTGCAGTTCATTTTTTTACCAACAAAAGATGTGATGACCAAAAATGATGGAATTGAAGGCAGGAAACTAAAATTATGATGTCTCATGGTCATAGGAAAGATTTTGAAAAATAATATGTTTACCTAAACTTTGCTGCTTTAGAGCCAAATTGGAAATTTGGGCAAAAGCTACCCTTAATCAAGACACAAAATGCTCATAATTGCAGATAATTTCACCCATTCTTATGGCCTTTGTCTACCATCAGACACTTAACCCTGCAGTGGTCACATGCAAAAACTGACCAAATAGGACACCATTTTGTTCAATTTTCTTTAGGCTGATTTTTGTATGCATAGCATGGATTAGTAGGATTACAACATAAGGTGTTTCAGACTCTACAGAGTCTTATATATGGTAATTTTAACTTAATTTCCAAGCCAGTCAATAATTACCCCGTCAGGGCTGCCATTAGGTAGTCACATTTCCCTCATTATGGGGCGGCACCCCATTTGCAAACTATGACACTTTCCTCAAGTTTGTCATTTGCATATGCAACTAGAAGAGTTCTACTACAGTGCACTAAAACCTGGAGTTATTTGGAAAAATTTTACCAAAAAATATAATTGATTTTACCACCCAGTCTAAGATACCCCAAGAGATGGGGTAACAAAGACCATCACTTTTTGAAATTACATAAAGACTGTGAGAGGCAGGAGCCAGCAATTTATGGTGAGTGAAGCACTGAAGCTAGAGTATAGACCTGTATTTTGCATGTTTCAATTCAAGTTGAATTTAGCTAGTACCTAGTAAAAAAATGGCATCATTTATAAAAAAAAGTGGTCTAAGTTACCCCATTTTACGGTATACTAAACCACATCATCATGACCACTGTAGGGTTGAGTGCTTAGTCAAAAAATATGGCACTTTGACTTTACTTGTTGCATTACTAAAAAATGTACAATACTAAATACCTACTTGTCAGAAATTCAGAACTAAGATTTGTTGATTTTGATTACCTTCAAAGCATGACAACTAAGAAGCTTTTTTGATTGCACTACCTACTACCTAGAAAGTGGTAAACTTTTAGTTCCATTTTATTTATAAAATAGGTAGGCCTAGATCATTTCAATTGCAGGCCAGCAACTTATGTGCTGTGGCAAAATTATTGGCATTGATGTTGATGATAGTTTTCTTCAGTTAATATTTAGAAAAAGCCTCAAAAAGGCATGTTTTGCCACTTGCCAGCAATTTCAAAAAACCATCTTTTTAAGCAAATTTGTACCCATTATTTTTTTAATAAAATGCAATACCTACCTACTAAATATTTCAGATTTGTTTCAAATATTTTATATGTAAGCTAAGATAAACTCCTATATATATAAATGAAATCTGGCTGTTACAGTTACCTAAGTTAGATTTCTAAACAATAAGACAAGCTATAAAATAAGGATCAACTAGGCTAACAAGATTACAAGAATTATGGTTGCAAAAAAAAAAAACAGGCAACTTGGACCATTGGACGGAAAATTAGGTAATTTAGTTATACTGCATACTAAATTATAAATTTTGTACAGATACTAAGTAAAGTAGCAGAATTTATACGATACCTAACATGACTAGGTTAACTACTAACTAGGCAAGTACATTTTTCTCACAAAAAATAAGCATAAAATAGTATGGACGCAAGCAACTAGGCCTAGGCTATACCGCTGTGACCGCTGTTAAGAGTGACTCGTAGAAGATTAGTAGCTACTCTAATAAGCTACAATAATATTGCTACATGAGATGCTCAAAACATATTTTCGAATTTCCATACTCACAAGGATTCATCATTCGTCCTTTTCTGGGGAGGTAGGACATTTTTTTCGTCCACTACTAGGTCTTCGAATTCCATTTTGGCAGCTGAGACTCTGGTTTAATAAAAAAATTCGCTCACTTCTCAAATTTTTTTAAAACGCTCTCATTATCCGACTCAATCACTGTAATTTGTAGATGAAAATCCACGTGCTTCCGAGTACGACTACTGAAGAACAAGTCCTTCTCGCCAAGGCGGAACGGCAACTGCAAGTCTGCAACTACTGGAGAAGTGATGCCAGGTTTTTTCTTGGCGAGAATACCAGATTACCCAGCTCAAAATACCAGAAGTATACCAGAAATTCTATTGTTCAAAAACAGACTAATACCTCTAAATTTAATGAAACTATTCGTCAGAAACGTTGGTTAGAAAAAAGAAAATTATCTTATGCACTGTGCATTTATCTGGCTTGACGATAATTAGCCATATTGAATACGTTATATTTTTTCCCTCTGTTCGGAGCATTTTGACACTTTTCTTCCCCTGTGTTTGATTACATTGACACTTTTTCCTTTTTTATCACAGTGTGGCACTTCTTCCCTTTCGCTTAACATGAGCAAGCCACAGAAACAGGGCATCTTCCTTTTGCTTATTTTCGCACACGCTTGCATATTGCATTAATCTAACATTTCGGGTTGGATCACTTATTGCGGCTGAGCAGATACCTAGCTTTTGGCCCGAATAAGGGACTCCAGTACCTTAGTTGAAATTTTATTTCGTTGCTTGTTTTTCATAAATGAACTTCGAAGGCACGTTGCACATTAGTTTTATAGTAAGCGAAAAAGACACGAGAAAGGATGAGAACTGATAATAATGATTAAGCACTAATTAATGGGATGATTATCATAAGTGCACGTGGTGATTAACATTTGCAATAAAGAACGAATTGGATTTTTAATAAATCACCCACGTTTTTACTCAATTCACAGTGGAGAGGACATCGATGTGACATAGCTCGTCTTTTTTATAATTTTTCTACTAGTAGCTAACTGCAAACAAAGCAGTAAATGAAATTTGAATTGTTTCATTGCAAAATTAAAGCCATATCTTTATATTAAGAACAAAATGCCTTCTTATTAACTACGATGGGCCAAATTTCTGTGCTCTTCTGATTGACTATTCATAGGAGGAAGATAAATGGTTTACCGACAGTTCTCCACGCCGAGTCGCTACTTGAGAATTTCCTCATTGAAGACGCTCTCTATCTCACTCGCAGTGAGACTCTCTATCTCACTTTCGCTTTAATTTATCTTCCCATGTTTTTATATTTTTCTTTATCTCACCCTTAACACAAACTTTTACACCCCTCTAGCCTTCCCTTTAATATCGCTTCTACCTGGCCTGGTCGCTCTTTTCCTACTAAGAAAATGGATATGCGATGCGTGGCTGGTGGCCGCTGTTAAGACCTGACCCTGGAATGTCCTTTTTCAGAGTCACCATGGCCCAAATTCAAATCCAAATGCTGCCCGAGCAACGTGCGGCCGTAAGGTGTACTAACATATCTAAAATCCAATAACCGCGAATCAATTGCTTTTTGCATGTGATTTAAGACGTCTATTCAAGACGTCTTACAAAGATGCAGCATGTGGACGGCTTCTGGAGCAAGGGTCAGAGAAAAATTTAAATGGTTCTTAAGCAGTGGTGGGCACAGCTAACCTAAAAGTTAGCTTCGATAACCTTTAATCCGCTAACTGAAAAGTTAGCTTCGATAACGCTAAACCGATAAATCACCAAAAAATGTAGCGGATTTTGCCGCTAACCGCTAACCGCTAACTTTTAAT